GAGGCCCTCCATCCAAGCCCTTCGTTTTGTGGCTGAGGAAACAGCCTTCCCAAGATCACATCGGTATTAAATGGCAGGACCCAGATTCAAACCCAGATCTTTTCACCTAAACCTAGTGTTCTTGCCAGTGTACCATACTGCCTCTCTCTGGGCCTCCAGTTCATGCCAAAGGAACTGGAGAAGAGAAGAGTAGGAAGGGACATGATGGCCTTTTTCCAGTGTGGAAAGGACTGTCCTGTAAAAGAGGGATTGGCCTTGTTCTGTGGGCCCCAGAAGGCAGGATTAGAAACCCTGGGCTAAAGTTGGAAAGCAGCAAACCTTGGTTTGTTTTCAAGAAAGAGTTCTTAAGAATTAGGCCTGTCCAAAGTAAAACAACAACAGTGTTTATAGAGCGTCTGCTATATGCTCGGCACTGTGCTGAGCACTTTCCAGTTATTATCTCTTGATATATTGAATGGGGTTTGGTGGACGGGATCTTTGCTTCTTCCCACTGCTCTGCCATCTTGGCTCCGCCTTCTCCCCAGCATGCTTTGTGACCCAGACCAGCTGGCTGTCAATTTCTGTGATAAGCTTTGCTTAATGCGCTTTGAAGCAGATCTTTATTCTACAGAGTTGACTGGGAACCCTCTTTTTTTTTTTTTTTTTTTGAGACAGTTGGGATTAAGTGACTTGCCCAGGGTCACACAGCTGGTGTCAAGTGTTTGGTCTGAGGCCAGATTTGAACTCAGGTCCTACTGACTTCAGGGCCGGTGCTCTATCTGTTGCGCCACCTAGCTACCCCTGGGAACCATCTTCTGTGGTCACAGTAGAATTGTCGATAGGTGGACTGTCTTGTTCACTTGATGTGAACTTATTTGGACTTGTGGTTTTTGGAGCTATATGGGATAGAAATGGCTGATGGTTTGCCTCTTTGCAATTTTTTGGCACATCTCTGATACCCCTGGAGCTTCCTGGTCAGGCGCATATCTGTATTCTCAGTATCCTTTCAGTTTGTGCCTGAGGTTGGTAGAACATTCCAGAGTTTCCACTGGGTGGTTATCCAGTGTTCCTTTCTGGCTTGAATCCTACAGGGCCCCCTAAGCATTTTTCAAACTGGTCAGCTCCCTCTCTGCCCTTTTTCTTTCCCCCTTCCTTAATTTAGCCAACCTCTTTTCGTTTCCTTGAGGATATTTCTCTTACCTTCATTTATAAATGTTTGTCTGATTTACTGCATAATCTTACAGAAAGAAGAAAAATTCTGTGAGTTTAGATTCTTTGTGAGTCACCGTTAACAAGAGACCCCCTTTCTCAGGCTCTGTCTTTGTAGATAGCTGATTCAGTCTACTTTTATCAGATGCCAGTAGTTTACAACATGTCTGCCAAAGGCAGCATTGGTGTGGGGGGGGGGGGTGAATTTCTGTAGGAGCTGCCCCCATTAAATCACAAAGTTGACCAAGCTTGACTTTGCCTCTGCCCAGCCCTCCTACCCTCTCACGCTTCCAACGTGGCTTTCCCCCTAAACCTCAGGGTTCCCATTGCCTCTCCCACTCCACATGTGGCCTATAACTAAAGGTGAAACAGCTCCTGCCTTCTAGAAACTGACGTCCTGGTGGGAAGACAATAGCACATACGCAGCCGCATCCAGGATACCGTGGAAAGGAATCTTAGAGAAGAAGAGTCAGGCTAATTAGTCATTGGTGAAGCACCTTACAAATATTACCTTGTGTCTTCACATTTACCTTGAGAGGTAGGTGCTATCGTTATCTCCATCCTACAGATTAGGAAACTGAAGCCGGTAGAAACTAAGTGACTTGCCCAGGGTCACACCGTTGGGATGTGTCTGAGGCAGCATTGAATGAGGAAACATTCTTTCCGACTCCAGGCCCAGTGCTCTTTACTAGTCAAGACACTGTAGGCCAGCTCAAGGGGAAGAGAAAAGGCCTCTTGCGGAAGGTGATGCTTGAGCAAAGTCTCGAGAGAAACCAGGGATTCGGAGTCAGAGGTGAGGAGAAAGGAAGGGAGAGAGAGAGGGAAAGAAGGGAGGATCGAGAGAGTGTGTAACAGCAAGTAGGCTAGTATAGCTGGCTTATAGAGAATGTGCAGGGGAATAATGTGTCCATAGCCTGGAAAGGGAGATTTACCTCTTTAAAAACAAACCGGCCTTAACAGAAGTTCACAGTTTCTTACACAGTACTCTTTCTTATTCTTTTTATGTCTTGATATGTTTGTGTTTGTTGACAATTACCTTCAAAGAAGAGTTTTAAAAGAATATTCATAGCTCCCTTGAAGACCCATAAAGGTCTTGGACTTTGTGCAGCTGACACAGTACTATATTAGCAGTTAGCATCACGTGGTTGAGCTCATTGTCGTTTGATAAGACCTTGCTTTTTCATTTGGACGTTGTGCAAGCCATCCCCGAAAGATGGCCGAGCCCTTGGAGCAGCACGCGTCTTCCTTTTGACGGAGTGATGGCCTTGGTCTCGTTTCTTGTATGTTCTTCACGTGCTTAGATTCCTTGTTTGGGGAGAGCCTGTAAAGGCCACGTTGCTTTACTGAGTCAGATGCCTTTTAAAATCCACACACAATAAAGGGGGTTGTTGTATTCTTGGAATCTTCCAGCCAGTTATGTGACCTTGAAGATGTGGTTTGCTAGAGAACATCATTTGTGAAATCCTGCCTGTTCCCTTTTCTGATTTTCATCAGTGATACCCTCAGTATGCATTTAGATCATTCCCACAAAGATGAGAAGATAAGCATGTACATCAGTGGTCAGCAGTGTTCGCTCTATCACTTTTTGGGGTCTTCATGTTTATTGATTTTTTCTGCATTCTTTGGCATCTGCTCCTTTAAATATCTGGTGAAAAAACCAATACCTTAATTCATGATGCAAAGCAAGACATCCATGTTGGCACATGACCAATGTGGGAATTTGTTTTGCTTGACCATGAATATTTGTTACAAGGTTTTCGTTTTCTTTTTTTAAATTGGGATAGAGTGAGAAAATAAATGCTTGCTAATTGAAAAAAAATAAAATGAAAACCAAATGATAACAGCAACCAATCCCTTGGTGCTTTCAGGGTTATTTCCCACAGCATGTATTTGGCCCAGTCCCACCTTAGCTTCAGCGCCATCTTGACTTCTCTGTGAAGCACACCCAGACTGCAGGGGATGGCTGCTCATTCACTGCTGATGAAGTTGGATAGTTATAGAAACTTGGACAGATCTGGTCCATTTTGTATCCATTTTGCACAGTGCTTAGCATATAGTATTCCCTGAATAAATGTTTGCTGACTGACTACTTAGATATGCCAGACTCATTCAGTAACCTTTATACATCTTATGGTTGTTGGCATGAGACCACCACCCGCCCCCCCCCCACCCCACAGTTGCCTGTGAGAATTACTGTGGCTGGGAAGTTTAAAAGGGCAAATGAACAACTTCTAGATAATAACTGGGAATGACAACAATAAGGGGAAGGAGACAAGAAAAAAAAGTATTTATCTAGGGCCTACTATGTGCAAGGCACTGTGCTAAGCACTTTACAAATATGATCTCATTCAGTCCTCGCAGAAACCCTGTGAAGGTGGTGCTATCAATATCCCCATTTTACAGATGAGGAAACTGAGGCAGGCAGCGATGAAGTAACTTGCCCAGGTCACACAGGTAGTAGGTGACTGAGGCTGGATTTGCAATTCCAGTCTTCCTGACTCCAGGCCCAGCACCCTATCCACTGTATCACCAGCTGCAGTAGGATCCGTCCTTGACCACTAGGGCCATTAGAGGTGTGTGATTATACGGGGGATTTTATGGTGGCTGTGGGCATTGGGCCCTTGCCCTGAGATGCTGTGAAAATCTTTGGTCATTTCCCCTCTGACCTTCAGTGCCTCATTTTCCATAAAAGAAGCCGCAGAAGGTTTGTGACACTCCCATCCCTCCCACCCCATTACAGGAAATTGCAAATTGCCTTGCAAACCTCAAAGCACAGTGGAGGGTACAGTATTGCTTTCAGCACATCTAGCTGTTTTCCCTTTCCCTTTTCTGCCTGCTGCAAGTGCAGCTTCCTGGCCCAGCCTCTCCTCATGGTTCCTACGCCCTAAGACCTGCACGCTGTTGACCCCTCACCTTATCTAGATTCTCTCCTCTCTGGCTTGTGGGGCGCTGCTCCTTCCTGATCCTTTTGTTAAGACTGACCTCCCCCCTAAGGCTGCTTTGCTAGTTTCCTTAACTCCGAGCTCTGCCCTCCCCTCCCCCAGGGCCACTGCCTGCTTCTCCATTACTTGGTGTACACAGGCCAGGGCCCGAGTTCTCTCCCCTCCTCTTGGCAGCACCGAACAGAGAGACTACTGCATCAACCACCCATCTCATGTGTAACATAGGATTGCTGCTAGGAGTGACCAGTGTCAGGGAGGCTGCAGGCTCCACTGGCTGAAAATAAGTAATTGTCCCCCTGCTTCTGAGCCTGACCCTCTCTAAAACCTGGGACAAGATACTCAGAATATTGGTTGGACGGATGACAGGCCAGGCGTTGATGACAAACAGTTTTTGTTAGCAGCTGTATCCGAGGCATTGCATAAATGTGAGTCATTATTATCATCGTCAGTATTCTGACAAGAAATAAGTATAAATATCAGCAGAAACTCATCTGCGTAGCTTCTGGAAAAAAGTGTGCCATGTCTCTTTCATGGCCTCTGAGTGACATGCAGGCCGTCCAAGAGAGACTTCAGAGGGAGTGTTGGATCTGCTTTGGACGGTACACTGTTGTCAGAGAGCTGCTGTGCTAACATCAGGTCACTGGCATTATTCTGGAAAGGCCCTTGTAGAGAGCACGTTAGCCTGCTTTGTCCTCAGGGTTACTTCTTTTAAAAATCTGGAGTTTAGATTTTTCACCAATTTAGTGAAAGTCAAACTTCTTTGTACTGAGGTCTTTCAATATTCTAGAAGCCTCTGTCCACTGGGGACAGATTTTGTCTGAAAATGCATTAATTAACTGGCACTAACCAGAGTCTTTTTGTTTTCTACAGAGGTTGCAGAGCTTGAAGCCAATTTACCTTGTAAGTACCCAGCCGGCCGTGGCAGAGTCTCTGTGGGCCTCGGTGACTCCACGGAGGGCGTTGTGTTCTTTAATCTTGCAGGAAGTCTACCCTTTACCCATTTCTGCCTTCACTTTAGCTTCTGACTTTTCACTGTGAGGGAGGTTCCTCACCCCCGCCCCATCCCACCTACCCCACTTTCTATGAAGGTAACATTGCTGCCTTTTTAAAAGACAAGTGAAAATCTTGAGAAGCAAAGTCACTTTGTGTGATCTTGTTAGGCATAGGCTACATATAAGCTCATACTCATTGTGGTGGTTATGACCAGTCGTTCTCCCAAGGGCCTGTTTTCAAATAATGGGAAAGGTGGAGAGAGGGAAATCTTCTTCTTCAGCCTTAGTTCACTCAGTTTTGCGGATGTCTACCTTTTCAGACTCCTCCTTATCCTGTCCATCTGTACAAATCCTAATGGCTCCTCACATCCTCATCTCAGAAAGGGCACAGTTATGCATCATTTTTTCTGGACTGGTGATGCTAAGAATATGTTCCATTTTTGTTTTAGTTTACAGAATTGTAGCTTTGGCTCCATTTTATTCAGTAATCTAGGAGGCAAAATCAAAACAAGTCTTTTCCTTGAAATGAGATTTGATTTGATACCCTTACTAGTGAAAAGCACACCCAGCTGTCCTTCCTCATCGGGCCAAGATAAATGAGTTTCACACAGTCCCTCTTCTCCGTCCCCCAAAACACCCACCACTGAAAAAAGGAACAGAGGCAGTTTTATCCAAGTATTCCTTGCTGACCGGAGTCTCCGTGGCTCAGTCTGAGGCAGGACACAGAATGCCAATGACACGCTTTTGTCGTAAGCTTAAAAATCTTTCCACAACCCCCTCGAAAACAAGTAGAAGGTTTCACTTCTAGTTAAAGCTGTTGGTAGAGAAGCATTGGCAGTGGGCGTACCTGGCTGAGTCTCGTCCCCCTCTACTTATAATCACCGGTGGGGGAGAAACTTGTTTTGGCCCTCGGGTAAGCCCTGGATCCCATGATTCCATGACCTAAAACTGTCCCTGAAAATGTCATGTCAGCAGATTGACAGAAGAAACTGTAGAGAAAAGCTCCACTCAGGCCTGGAGAAAAGTAAGTTCACGAACAAGACAGAAGTGGAAAACAAACCACTTTGTTTCTTGGTTCCTTTACCCCACACTCCTCCTTCAATGCCACGTGGCACTGTGGTGTGGAGGCCCTGGGGACGTTGGAAGCAGGCCCCGGCACAGGAGGGCCCAACGTGGCCAGAGGGCTTGTGAGGAAGAGCTAGCCCTGGGAAGTGTCTTAAACAGTCACTTGGGGCCTCTGTTTGGGGGATCCTCAGGCGTTTGTTATGTTCATTTCTAGCAGCTCACGTAGTCTTCTGTTTTCATTTGCACTGAAATATGGGAACTTCAGGATCCACATGGAGAAACAAAGTCACACGAAACAGATCGCCCGTGTTGGCAGACGCTATCGAGGGAGGTGGCACGGCCATCTCCTTTCTGGTGACTCTTGGTCACAGACTCCTTGTTCACAAGGAGAGCCATGATTCATGCGTTTCAGAAAGCTGTCCTGGAACCATCACCATTGTCATGTCTGTGCCTTGCTAATGAGATGCCAATTGAACATTGACATGAAGGATGGTTAGCTTAATGCTACCCCTGTTTTCAATAAATCTTTATCTCAGGGCAGCTAGGTGGCGCAGTGGATAGAGCACCGGCCCTGAAGTCAGGAGGACCTGAGTTCAAATCCGGCCTCAGACCAAACACTTGACACTTACTAGCTGTGTGACCGTGGGCAAGTCACTTAACCCCAATTGCCTAAAAAAACAAAACAAAACAAAAAAAAACAATAAATCTTTATCTCAGTGACAAATCCCATCTGTGCAACCTTATTCAAGGTGTTAAGGAAAATTTAATACAATTAACTGCCCCTCCCAAGTAAATTATATCTCTTTTGTATTTTTATGTTTGCCTAAAAATATATGTCATAGTTGGATTTCCTTCTGCTTATTCTTATTTAAAAAGTCACATAATAATAGAACAATCAAGATCCTGGTGTGTTCCGAGGGAGGGACTGGTGCTACTGTGTAAAATGAAACCCAAGGGCTTCTGGGCTTCTAGACTCCTTTCAGAGGACACTGCCTGGCCCTGTTCCTCTCCTTTGGCCTCTATTCCTGCACCTGTGCTGATGCTTTTCTCTTGGGAGGCAGTGACCCCAGAGGACGCTGATTCTCCTCCTCCTAGTGTGCAAATGACAGCACAGTGCCCAGCACACAGTAGGTACTTTAAAAACGTTTACTGATTTTTCCAACTGGAGCCTTCACTGTGGCCAGGACACAGCATGACTTGGAGGGAGTCTGCCTGGCACTCTGCCACGGAACCTGTGGCATGCTAAGTGGCCCAGTGACTCACAGTCTACACCGTCAGTCAGTCGTGGCCATGAGCCACAGCTCCCACTATGCTGGGTGTCTTCCCTCTGGCTGTCACACTTTCCTCACGATTGTTTTCTTTTGTAGGTACATGTAAAGTGAATTTTCCTGATCCAAACAAGCTTCACTACTTTCAGCTAACAGTCACCCCAGGTAATGTTTTTGGATAATTTGTAGATCCATGCGTGGGGTTATCAGTGGGGCCCTCCCTCCTCCGACCCCTCTTTATGTGTATATGAGACCCTTCCAGCTTCCCATAGGCCTCTAGAGCTGGAGAATCTGGGGTCCCTGCCAGGCCATAACAGGCATCAGAGGAGGACGTGCAGTGCGGGAGAATGTTTAGAAAGGAAAGGGAATTTCCTCTTTTTAAAACCTTTAGACTTAAAAAAAAAATCCTCTTCCACTTTTTAATTATCATTACTTTTTGCAATGAAGTTTATCTATTTGAATCAACTTTTGGTGTGATTTGTTTGCTTCCTCATTGACAGTGTTTCCTTTAGTTTTTAAAAGTTGTTCATGAGTGAATATGGTATGTGGCTAACAAATGACAAAAAGCTGAACATAGTTACACAGGATTTTTGATGTAATCATAAAATTTACAACATAACTTCGTGTGATATTTAATGGTAGATTACCATTATTGTGCTGCAGAGCAGTTAGGCAGAAACACTAAGCAGTTGACATAAATAGTATGACTTCTGTGTGGGATTTTCTGGAGTTAGCTCAGATGGGAATAGGGGACTTTGAAGACCTTTTGGTCAGATAGGGGCTTGGGAGGGACTCCACTGTGCCCTTCCCTTGTCCAGCAGAGAGTACGCCAAGGGCATCTGATTGACAAGTCCTCCTGCCTCAGCGTCCTAGGAGCCAGGCTTATCTTGGGGCAGACACAGCTGAGATGGATGGAGGGACAGCGGACAGTCAGACAGGGTCCAGGAGCTGGGCAGGAAGCTAATGAATTGGGGAAGAAGTGAAGTTGTTCCCACTCCTTGGCCTACTACAAGCCCAAAACAGTTTTCCTGCAAGAGAATCACTTGTTTCTTTCATTCTCCCTCAAAGTAAGCAGAACAATCGCCCCCCAATTCTCCCTGTTCCACCTTTGGGAGGATTACAGCAGCTTGGGGGTGGGGTAGAGGGAGGAGAGAGCCCCTGATAGCCACATAGCTAGCTGATTAAGTTAGTGGATGGTGGAAACATGAGCTGGTGGTTATATTTGATTAGGTTATTGCTTTTCAGTTTACAAAGCACTTTATACGCATTAGCTCATTCAGTCGTTGTGTTAGCCCTGTGTGGCAGGCAGAGCAATTATTATCTGCATTTTTCAGATGAAGAAACTGAGGGTAGGGGAGTTTAAGTGCCTTGACCAGGATCACCCAGCCCATCAGTGTTGTCGCTAGGAAAAGCCCAAGGACCCTACCCAGAGCCAGGGTCTTTCTACTACGTGCTGATGCCTCACAGCCAAGGCTTTGGGGAGATGCCCCAGAGAAACATCCACCTTTGTGTATGGGAGGGGAGAAGAGCAGGGTGAGGTGGGGCACAGTACGTGGGCTGGGATGGGGGCATTGGCTGGCCAGAGCACAGCAGTACTTGATTCTCTGGCATCGAGGAATCTTAGAGGTCATCCAGTCTGGCGCCCTGATTCTACAGACGAGGACACTCAGGTTCAAGGGCACCCCGTTTGTGTGAGTGAGAGCCGCAGAGCCTGAGCGGTAGGGTACATTTGTTTGAATCCGTCCTTTTTGTAACCACTCCTTTTGTAATCTGTTCTTATCATCTTTGCTTCTCTTCCTAAGTGACTGAGCGCTTCTGTGTCAGTGTGTCAAGTGTGTTAAAGGCCGTTCTTCAGAAGCACTTTCTCAGTGACATTGAACCACCATGACAGGCAGTGGTTGTGTGCCTGCCTTGTAGGTGTCAATTGGGGGGTTGTACCATTAGCCCCCGATTTCCGTGCCCCTAGACTCGTATCACCTCTGCCCCTTCCTTCTGTTGGCCGTCACTAGTTGCTGGGCTGTGCAGACTTGTTCTGACCCATACTTTATACCCAGTAGTCTTGTGGCCTAGAAAAGTAAAATGCATGAGCTTTGTAGCTGGCGTTTAGATGGCCCTTAAAGGTTTGCAAAGCCCTCTTCCTATCTCATTGGGTCCTCACAACAACCCTGGTAGGGAGGTGCTATGATAATCACCCCCTTTTTATAGATAAGAAACTGAGGTAGGCAGGGGCAAAATGACTTGCCTAGGGTCACACAGCTAAGAAGTGTCTGAGGCAGGATTTGAACTCAAGTCTTCCTGATTCCAATCCGCTTATTGTGCCATCTGGCTGACTTTCTAACAGCCGTCCAAAGTCCATAGCTATTCAAAATGGCCAATATAATAATAATGGTATGAGTGTGCGTGCGTGCGTGCGTGTGTGTGTATACGTAGGTATATACATATATAGCTGTGAGGTTTGCAGAGTGCTTCACATGTGTTTTCTTTTTTTAAATAATATTTTATTTTTCCTAATTACATGTAAAAACAATTTTTAACATTCATTTAAAAATTTTTTGAGTAAATTTTAGAAATGAATGTTAAAAATTGTTTTTACATGTAACTGGGGAAAAATAAAATACTAAATAAAAATAAGAAAAACATGTTTTTGAGTTTCCCATTTTCTCCCTCCTTCACCTCCCCCCTTCCTGAGATAGTAAGCAATTTGATAAAGGTCATACACTCACGTGTATTTTCTTAAGTGAAGGTATTGTCATTACTTGTTTCTCTGTATTAGAATTAGGGAACAATCAGGAAATCACGCACACAGAGATATTCTGGTGGTGCTGGTAATCATTATTATTGTTTTGTTATCACACTTAAAAGAGGCGTGTGCGTGACAGATTTTGGGGGCTGAGGATTTGGTAGAGAAATCACTTCTCTTTTGTGACACCCCTTGTGTCCAGTGTTTGGGGTTTCACCGCCCCGGAGGATGCTTGTGGGCTTGTTGGCGACTTGGCAGGGAATCTGGACATTCTTTTTGTTTGCTGCTCTTTGTGGCTTGAGGGTTAGTGTTGGGGTTGAGGTCATAACGATGTCATGACTTACCTGAGAAGTGCTGCGGGCAGAGGTGTTAAGGCTTGGCATTTCTGTGTTAAATAAAAACATGGTGGCACCTGGACCAGTTTTCACGCTACATTTGTATAAAATTAATTCAGAGAGCACCTGCAACCCAAGCCCTGTGACACAGGTGCACTGGTGAGCCCCATTTTAGGGAGGAAAAAGGCTTGGCCTGGCAGCTGCCAGCGGCCAAAAGGCTGCAAGAGTCTGAAATGTTTCTCCATTGGGGTAACCCCATTATGCGTCATCTTGTCCCGATTCCTAGCCTCGGTTGGTGACAGAGGATGCTCCTTCTCTGGGGCTGGCCTCTAGGGCAGCACGTGTACTGGCCAGGCCCTGGGTGGGACGAAATAATGTTAATAATCCACATTTTATAGCACCTTAAAGTTTTTTGTCCTGGGAAATTAAAGCAGGTTGCCAGGACACTATAGAAGAGAGAGGAGTTGAATTCCTAAATAATGGTCTAATACAGATTTAAAGCTTGAGAAAATTAGCATGCCATAAACCCCCCAGAAGCCTTTCTTCTAATGGTGTAGCACAGACATCCCATGGGCATTTATACAGGGAGCTGACCCAGCCTGCTCTAAATTCTACACAGAATTTTTTGTAGTGTTGATTTGAGAAAGATTTTTTAAAATTTTTAAATTCTGATTTTAATGACTCTGCCCCTCCCCCCCAAAGCATTTCCAAATCAGGAAGTATTTGTTAAGTGCCTACTGTGTGCCAGGCACTGTGCTAAGCCCCAGGGACACAAAGAAGGGCCAACGGTCCTCCTTGCCCTCAAAGAGCTCCCAGTCTAAAGGGGAGAGAAAACATGCAGGCCGTTATCTGCAGACCAGGTATGACAGGATCCTTGGCGAGGATCTCGGTGGGAAGAAGCCAGGAAGATTGAGGAGCACCTGGACAGGCTTGCTACAAAAAGTGCGGTCTTAGCTGAGACTGGAGGGAGCGAGAAGCAGCCACTCTTGGTGATGGTGACGTCAGAGGCCGGGTGGAAAGCTTTGAAGGAGCCACTGTGGGAAAGAGGGTTAAGGGCAGAACAGTGAACCTCAATAACATGGCTTTAAATAAATTAAAAATCCAGTGTTACTTTCAAAGCTCTCTGAACTTCATTCTGTTTTCTCTGAATTTCATTCTATTTTTTAAAATGCTTCGATGACCTTTTTTTAGAAAGATATTTTTAATAAAAATCTCCCTTGGGATTTATTTGAAGCTTTTTTTTTTTTTTTTTTAAATTAAAGGCAGCCTGACGTAGAGTGTGGAGAACAGGCTTCAAAGCCAGGAGGCCCTGGGTCCAAGGCCGGCCTCTGACATTCTAGCAGTGTGACCCTGGACGAATCCCTGAATCTCTCAGTGCTCTAGGTAACCTCTAAGACTGATTTATAGAGAAGGGGCTGACCTGCGTTCATAGAGGGAGTTTGCTTACCTGGGAGATAGCTAGGCCTGTGTACTCCCAGGTCTGGACCCTAGCCTTTTCTTTTTTATTGCTATTTTTGGTTGTTTGAGATTGATTTAACAGGAAGTAGGAATGAGGTGACCTGGATTTCTGAATGGAGTTGTGACTCATCTGTTTCAACCTTTCACTCAAGTCCCAGGGCCTACATGATAAGAGACGAATTCACCTTCCACTTTCCCCTGACTGGGCCAAGTTTAGTTCTTGGAAGCGTTTGTCACACCCCACTTCATTATTACATTCTTAAGCAACGGTGACATATGTGGCACCATGCCAGGCAAAGGAGAACCAAAGACAGGTACGATGTGGGCGTGATACAAGCTCTTCTCAAAGCGATTAGAGCCTTCTGGGGGACGAAGGAAGTCCATTGTGCACGTAAAGCCTGGCAGTGCTAGGCAAAGGTTGATCAGTACCGAGTAGAGCGCCAGGCAAAGGGATCTATCTATGTGATTGGGGGGAAGGTTTTATCTTGGGGGTTATTACTTCCTCCAAATACCCTTTTATTAAGTATCAGAAAATCATATTTCATTTACAACTTCAAGTAGAGTGTACTGTTTATCAGATAAATCACTTGTTAATTGATGTTCTTAATTTTTTAATTTTTTTTTTTCATTTTCAACATTCACTTTTATAAGATTTTGAGTTCCAAATTTTTTTCTCCCTCCTTCCCCTCCTCTCCTCCTTCCCCAATACGGCATGCAAGACAGCTGTATGTGTACAATCATATTAAACATACTTCCATATTTGAGATTTTTAGTTTTTCATGAAATATCTGCCTAAGCTATTTTAGGAAATTTGGTGAATTTAATATTTAGCCCTAGATCTTAAATCTTTACTTTCTCTTCAAAGATTTTTGTGTATATTAAAGGCAAAAATATATCAATTGTAAGGAGAAAATTAGAATATTCTCACAGTCTTCTCCTGTTTAGCTGATTGTTCTCAAGACTGGAATTTTAAGAGAAAATTGGAGTGAGAAATAGGAGCCCATCCCATTGGTGGGGCAAGTCAGGACATCCTCTTTGTGCCTAAAGTTGCCTGATTTCTCTGGTAGGAATATTTTTGAAGGCAACAGATACTTCCTCAGATAGATTGCCTTTCATCCCTTCATCCCTTTTTGTGGTTGTAGCTACTGTTAGGTATGGTGCATTTTGTGAGGCTGCATTTTAATACTGAACATCCTAAGGCACAGGATGATTGGGGGGGCATGCTTGGTTTTTCTGTTTTGTTTTTTGCTTTTTGGTGAGGCAATCAGGGTTAAGAGACTTGCTCAGGGTCACACTGCTAGTACGTGTCAAGTGTCTGAGGCCAGATTTGAACTCAGGTCCTCCTGACTGCCAGGCTGGAGCTCTATCCCCTGCGCCACCTAGCTGCCCCTAGCATTCTTGTTTTGTGGACTCCTCAAACTCTAGTCAGTGTGCTCTTCCCCCCAAGCCCCAGCCCAGACCCTGACTGCACGGCACCCGTTCAGCGAAGCTGCTGAAATGAGTGGTGCTAGTTGAGTTTATGACACTGGGCAAAAGCCAGTCAGCCGGTCACTAGCACTCGTGAGCACCTCCTTCGTGCCGGACACTGTGCTAAGCACCAGGGCTACAAGGAAAGAAAAAAGGCAAATAGTTCCTGCTCTCAGGGAGCGCGTGGTCTATTGGGGGTACCTGTGAACAGCTGCCTGGAACCGCACATCCAGGCCAGACTGAGGTTAGCCTCAGAAGGAAGGAGGCAGGACTAAGAAGGGCCAGCCACTAGTGCTTCTTACAGAGGATGAGATTTTAATGGAGACTTGATGGAAACCAGGTGGTGATAAGGAGGGAGAGGGCTCCAGGCACGGGGGACAACCAGCCAATGAGAACGCACACAGTGCCCCTGGATCACAGAGTACTAGGAGAAGAGTAAGGTGTGAAAAGGCTGGGAAGGTAAGAAGGGGCAGATCACGAAGGGCTTTGAACGCCAAACAGGATTTTGTATTTGATCCTAGAGGTAGTTGGGAGCCACTGAAGTTTAAGTTTGTTTTGAGGTGGGGTATGATATGATTAGACCTGTGCTTTACGAATTACCAATTTGACAAGAGGGGAGGGATTGGAGTGGGGAGAGATCGAGGCTGGCAGACCCCCAGCAGGTTATTGCAATAGTCCAGGCTTGGGGTGGCCAGGGCCTACACCAGGGTGGTGGCAGCAGAGTCAGAGGAAAGAAGGGGGTTATTGGATAGAGGTTAGGAAGAGGAAATGACAGGACTTGACTGTGGATTGGAGATGGGGGGTGAGAGAGAGAGAGAAGAGTGGAGGATAGCCCCGAGGTTGCATTGTAATAAAAATACTGCCTATTCCATGAGGTCATTGTGAGCTACTTTAATATATCACGTCCTCTCCAATCTGTCCCTGAACCCTATTTGGTTTATATTGCCATGATTGCCTGAGGGCATCTTCTTAGAGTGGCAGTCCTTAACCTTTTTTTGTGTCATGGACCCCTTTGGCAGTCTGCTGAAGCCTGTGGACCCCTCCCTCCTCAGGATAAAATGTTCAACTGCATGAAATGAAATGCAGAGAAATCCAAAGGAAACCAACCATACCGAAATATGGTTAGCAGACTAGTTTTAAAACAAGTTCATGGACTCCGTGTTAAGAAAGCCTCTGGATTGGAGCAAGGAACCAATTGGAAGACAGGACACAACAGGCTGGCTTTCTCAAAGTCCTGCCTCACTGTGATCATGGTGGCCTTTGTCCTGGCCTCAGCATCTCAGTGTTCTTGGTATTCTGAATCCCTGCATCAAGACTTATCTGGAGCCTTCTTGTATGATTTTGCTTTTGATGGTATTTGGAGATGCTGTGAGCTGTTAGGGAAAAGAATGTTTGCAACAGCCAGCCCAGTGTTGGACAGGAGTTGCGGGACAATAATGCCCCCTTCTTCTTTTTTGTCGTTGTTGTGGTTGTTGATGCCGCTTTCTTTTTCCCGAGGAAGCAGGAAAGGTGGCCCCGTAATGGGTGGGGCTCTTAGAGGTATTAAAAAGCTAACCCACATGAGGTGGAGTAGATGGGTCTCAGTGGTTCAGATTGCCAAGTGAAAAATGTTCGATCCAGGCTGCCTCAAGTCATCCAAGATTTAGTGGTAAAACTGGGTCTAAAACTAAGGCCTCCTACTGTCCAGTCCAGTGGTCTTGCAGAATAGCCTCCCTTTCTGGAATCTCAGACACTGGAATTTCTCACTGGATGGTCTGTCGTCAGGCCTGGTGACCATGTGGATGTGTGTGTGCGTGAGTAAAGTGAGTGTGGCTTTCAGATTTGGGAGAGTCACCTGTACGGGAGAAGTAGTAACTGACTCACCACACGTCCCAGAAGTGCCTTGTTGCCATTTCCAAGTTTCAAAGCAGCATTGTCAAGCCAAATTTACAGAGAGACTTTGAGCAAAAAGAAAGGAAAAATGTTTGTTTGCAAAATTGGAATTGATTACCTTGTGTGGGGGGAAAGGGGGGAGGCTGAGAGGCCACTTCTCACACCTCTGAAGCGTGGGTAACTTCGTTCAGCACTCAGCCTTCCTCTGTGTGAAGTGAACACGGCACCTCCCGTCACTGGTGCTCGCGCGGCTGGGGTAGCGCTGTGTGTCTCACCTTTGAACGCGAAGGATAGCGGCCACTTCAGGTGTTCTGACTGTGACTCCGGAGCCACCCGCAGCTTGTGGAGAAACAGAATTTAAATTAGGGGACTGAAGGGGCCTAAGAAAGACGTGTGCTCACACTTAGTAGGAAAGGAGGGGAAAAACAGAGGAGGCGGAGAGAAAACAACAGCGGCCGTGGAGAGGGGCCTCGCTCCCCCAGCAGCTTTGGTCTTCCCCGGGGCTCAGCTGCGGTGGTCACGTCAGGAAGGTCACATTTCATCCAGCACTAGGTTCACCATGAAAAACCAGTCTGCAAAGCTTGTTTATTTCTTGCCTGCCTTTGAACTTGTGAAAAGTCTCCTGTGTCTCTTCGAAGGTTTTCTTGGCCACTTTCTCCTGTGGTTTGAGCACGGAGGCCCCCAGAGAGCCCAGGGTGTAAGGTATCTGAAGTGCTCCAGCAGAAGCACATTATGGAAATGGAATTGGATGGCAGTGGATTCCTTGGAAGCTAACAGAAGAGCGAGTCATGTTTGGTCTTCGTTTGATTTGAATGGAAACAAAAGATCAAATCTCTGCTGCTTTGCCAAGACGATAAGTCTGTTAGGATGCGGGAGAACCCTTCGTTTTATCTGAAGATGACATACACATTTTCAAATTACAGAATTTGTGTGATTAGCAATTAATCTGTTTACTCTAACTTGGATCCTCAAATGAATATTTGCAGTTTTGAATATCGTGTGCCAGGCAGCTGTCAGCCATTGTCAGAGACAGTGCTATGACAGGCCCGCACTGAAACTATTGTAAATACTGCCACTAGAAGGCACAGCCCTAGGTGTAGAGATAGGATTCTCAAGTGTGAGGAATCGGGAGAAAGCTGAAAAGGGGTTGACCTAAATTTGGAGGCAAGAAGTCAGTTCTCATAGAAGAGAATCCTAACCATTAGAGCTGGAGGAAGGGTCCCTGGACAGTGTCAGTCCATCGATCCATCAGCAAACATTTATTAAGCACCTGGGCTAGGTGCTGGAGATAAAGAGAAAAAATGGCATTGCCTGCCCTCAAGAGTTTATATTCTACTAGCAGCGATACGACAGACACAAATAAAATGTGGGGAGGGTGAGGTGGGAGCAAAGGAGCACTCTAGGAAAGGGCAGAGAGAGACAGCCAGGGAAGGCTTCTCGCCTGAGCCAAATCAACTCCTCCTTTGGGCGACGAGGAAACAGACCCAGGTGCTCCAGTCTTGACCACAGCTGTACAATTTGTTCTTTTGAATATTTTCTGAGTGTGTATGTTCTGATTTTATCATTGAAAGTGAGTGAGAAATAATTTTAGCCAGATTTGTTCAAATGAAATTAGGTTATAACTCTTGCCCTTTTTCTAATGCCTGACTTTCTATTGTAGTTCTTTCAAAACATTATTCATTTTCTCCTCCTTATCCTAATGTGGTATTTGTTTTTTGTTTCATTTTTTAAAGGTTTCTTTTTCTTTTCTTTGTGTGTGTTTTCTGATAGATGAGGGTCACTACCAGGGTGGAAAATTTCAGTTTGAGATAGAAGTCCCTGATGCTTACAACATGGTGGTGAGTAGTCGGCATCTTGATCTGCTTGCTTGTTTTCTTGGACTTTTGCATATTTGAGAGCCTGGCCACTGCCCCCAGGACTGTGTTTTCCCCGTTCCCCATCGTGACACGACATTGCTGGGTGGTGGTCGAGGGAGGGAGAGGCCTCAGGGCCGAGTCTCCCGTGTCCAGGAGTGGCCAGCCCCTGGGTTATTTCTATGACCATTTCAATGTGATTGTGCAGTTTGGAATTGCCCCCTGACAGCCCACTCTTCTCTGAATACAGCCTAAGGTGATAGTTTCTTTGCACAGGACTTACTTAGTCATGCTCTGATGATTATGGATAAATGAGACCTGAAGTGGGGTCCGAAGCCAGATGGCCTCCTCCCAGTGAAAGGCTTTCCAAAGGGGGACATCGTGCTTGTCAGAGGAAAGGGGCGTGGGGGTGGGTGTCCATTACACAGGTGACTGCCATGTTTGTGCTGACAAGTGTCCAGACAGCCTTTTATGGGAGACCCTTATTCTGATCATGAGCTTCCTAAGAGCAGAGACACTGAGTGGAGAGGAACCTCAGAAAAAGATGAAACTAACCCCCTCAGGTGATAGAAGGGGAAACTGAGGCCCCAGGAGGCCAGGTCTGTTGGTCCTCTGATCTGGAGGATCACCCAAGGGATTTGACTGGGGTCGCATAGGTTGTCAGTAGAAGAGCTGAGTTTGGGCCCAACGGTTCTCACTCCAAACGCGAGTGGTCTTTCTGCTCTTCTGAAGTCATTGTGCCCCTTGACCTCGCTTTGCCCGAAGGTTATTCCGTGTTCTCAGTTACCAGCAAATCAGCTGACTCCATGTGATAACACGCTGGTGATGTTGGGTCATTTGATCTAATCCCAGAGTGGAGAAATGAAGGTCCTGTTCTTTCTGTCTGTTGGAGTAAAACCTAATAAGGTGGAGCTCTGTCTCTTCTTAGCTGACATCATACAGTATAGTTCTCTTGGGAATTTTTTGTTTTGTCTTCTTGTGAAATCCCACTGTTTCAGTCCAGGATAAGAGGCTAGAGATTAGCCCAAAGCATTTCTCCAATTCACTCTGTTTGCCTCCTGCTCAGACTTCCCTTCTCTTCTCTCCTTCCCACCTCACCATTGTGAGCTGTTAGACTGCAGTCTGAGCTCCTTTTGAAAGCCTTCCCATCACATGCAGTGGGAAGCCAAGCTTTCTTTTCCCTGACTTGCTGATACCTTTGAAATTTGCCGTGTCTTTAGTAGTTGAGGACGTTAGGACTCAAGTCAAGGCAGTGGTATCTTTAAAACCCATGAAACAAATGGAAGCAAGGATAGATCACAGGCTTTTCCAGCTGCTTTTATTGTTTATTGGTAATTTTTCTAGCAGAAATCTTTCTGTAGCCTAGTGTGCCCAATTATAATTTCTTCTCTTCCACATATTTCCCAAGTGAATGGGAATTATGGCCCAAGCCAGATAAAGGGTTCTGTGGGAGGTTTCTCTATCAAAAGAGAATTTTTAGTTTAAAAAATTTTGGTAGTCATTATGGAAATATGTATTATTAATCTCTGGGAATGTTATAAAAGGTGACCTCTATCAGTGCTGTTGGCTATGAGCTGTATCCATGTTGAAGATATACTGTGATGGAATTTTTGATATATAAAGGGTACCTTGGTGAGTGGGAGTATATGGAATAGAAAGGAAACAGAGGACCCAGGGAGACTCAAAGTACAGGGGTTGAAACTATGATGCCAAGATAGACTTTAGGCAAAATTTCTCCTGTGGCTTTAATTAGAATTTTGATTAGAGACCCCCCATCTCTAATTCTGTGCCTCACCTAACACCTCCTAATGAAGGTGGGGCTTCAGGGCCTCCTGACTAGACAATGGCTAGTTCTGGAGTCCAGCCAGCACGAGTAGTAGAGGCCTGCTTTTAAGTGCCTTCACCTCCACTACTGGACAGCCCTCTCCTCTCCAGAAATCCTGGCTCCCGTGAGCCCCTGTCAGCTCCTGCCAGGATTTCAGGTGCCCCTGACCAGAAGGAGGAGGGCATCCCATCAGCTTCTGCTCCTTGGGGCATTTCACACTAGTACAATGCAAAGATTGAAGGCAAAAGGAAAAGGAGACGGCAGAGGATGAGATGGAGAGATGACCTTGGACAGACCGTGAGAGATTGTGTAGGACAGAAGAGCCTGGTGTGCCGTGGTCCCTGGGATTATAAAGAGTCAGACACAACTGAATGACTGAACAACAAAAACAAAACTCCAGTGCATCATGTGTCACAGCGTGTGACCAATGACTGTGGTCCCATGATTGATCTGTTGGGAATTCCTGTGTGAGGCCTAACCTAGCCAGGAAGTCAGCAAGGCACTTGCTGAGTGGGTAGAGATGTGACCATGCTGGTAGTTTTAACCAGATTTGTTGTATGGGAAAGTGAGTCCAGATGAAAAAGAACTATCCTTTCTTTCCCCCATATTTCATCTCAGTTTCCCAAGATAGCATTCTCTACTTTTTCTTTCTAGCCATTGAGTTGAGATAAACTTCTCAGTATGCAGGCTGGAGGTATCCCTGCTACCCAGCTCTCACTGGGCTCGCTGCCCACCTACACTTCCAGTTGCACCAAGTACACATACCTTCTCACCATGAGCTTCCAGACCAAATGTTACAAAGAGTCAGTGAGGAAAATAAGTACTCATTCCTGACAAACCAACGTCGATTAAAGCTGAATTTGGGCGTGAAACTACCATGTTTGTGGCATACTCCATTAGAAATCAAAAGTAGGTCCAGAGGTACATTGACCCTCCAAGCTGGATAAAACCTGAGTGAAGTTGCCAGAGATGTGATCGCTCAGGGGCCAGAGCCTAAACGGTGAGTTGTGGGACGAGGAGGGAGGAAGGATTAGTGTGGAGATCTGCCTCTGGGATCTGGGCCGGACCCGTCCCCTCTCAGGGCCACAGCACAAGTTGTAGAAGAGCTGAAGACGTGTGTTGGTAGAGGGCCTTGCCTCACCAGGAGTTCTCTACTCCGTTTAAACTGAAGAGACAGACCATGAAAACATCACAACTACGAGGGCAGGGGAGCCCACGTGGGCGGCTGTGACTGTGCTAGGATAACCAGAATAACTCTCAGGCCAGTCAGGAGAAACAGGGACGCCACCCAGAATCTTCCCTTAACCCTAAGACCTTTTCTCATTGTTCTTTGGATGCCCTCCACTTTGGAGTTGGCATATGTTTATTTTTATACCAAAAAAGAGTGAAAAGATATGTATTGATGGCACTCTTTGAACTGCAGAGATGTACTGCTCCTGGCAGCGATGCTTGTTGGTAATGAAGCGGGCCTGCCTCTCCGAAGCTTGGTTTGGCGACTTGTGGTCCTTCGGATTAGGGTGCGTGACCCCGGCCATTGCTCTTTGGAGGTCGGGGGTGTTCGGGTAATCTGTGAATGATTGTGCTCATCAAGGAAGGTCAGCAGCAAGAAGGGGAATGAGGTGAGGGTGACTGGAGCGTGCCCTCTGCTGGGTCGTGTGGAGTACTTGAGGTTACAGGAATAAGTTGCTTTTGGTTTGGAAGAGCCTCTCCTGCAGTCATGTGCCACTTAGGCTTAATTATTAAAAAGAGATAAATGGGTTCTGTTTATTAAGGAGCCATTCCTTCATGTGTCGGGGCAGATGAGCTCAGTTAATGTATTTGAAAAGAGCAGAGCTCACAAGTAGGAATTGCCAAGGCAAAGCAAATACCTTTTGGCAGGAGCCATTTCCTTAATGGAGGTCAGCTTTAATAATTGCCTCTGCATTATATATATCAAAACTAAATTTGTATTGCATCCCATTTTATTAATTTTAAATATTAATTTAGGCATTAAAATGGCTTTGTTTCTTTCATGTTCCTTTACATGTAGCGAAGAGGCTCCGCATCTGTTGTGATCATGGAGGGTTGGGACTTTGTTTTAGATCCCCCGAATTCAGACTTAGAGTCCTAGAGTCATATTTCTTGGTTCTTTGTGCTGTAGAAGAGTAAGTGAAAGCATTTGTTAGCTGGATTTTTTTCTTTTTGTAAGTTTACCAGATCAAATACTGATTCTCTTTTAATTTTTGGGAAAATCATCTTTATGAGGAATAAGTGAGCCTCATTTAAAAAAAAATAGGGCTTATTCAGTATAACTAAACTTCATTTCAGGTTCTGATTATTTGAGCAGTGAGGAGCTAGAAGACTGCAGCTGAGCACCCAAGACAGGAAATGTCATAGAAACCCAGCTTTACTTTGGGGACATCCCTTAGTTTCTCTGGGACCTCAGTGTCCTCATCTCTAAAATGAAGGGGACTGGACTAGATGACCCCTCCCTCCCTCTAGTTCTCAATCTATGAGCCTATGAAAATCTTCTGAGCCTGGAGTCATTTGACCTGCCTTTGGATCCCTAGTCAAATATTATGTAGCTTGGGAGTAGGCCAGGGGTGGGGAACCAGCATTAGCCCTTTGACTGAGTCCAAGTTTTACAGAACAAATCCTTTTATTAAGGTGGTTTGTTCTGTGAAGTTTGGGTTCAGTCAGAGGGCTACACCTGAGGACTTAGAAGGCCACACGTGGCCTCAAGGCCTCAGGTTCCCCACCCCTGGGGTAGGCATATTTAAATGTTTTCTGCCTTCTCTATTTCTTTGTCCTTAAATTTTTCCTGATAATGTGGTTAGATTTCTTTATCAGAATACTGATTAAGCACAGTTAATGATATATTTCTAAAAAACATGTATACTTTCTTTTTATCTAATCAAATTCTTCCCTTTAAATTTAAAACTAAAGTCCCTTTTGTCGCTAAACCTATTAGATGAATAAAATAATGCCCTTTATAACTTTAAAAGTATACTATTACTGTGCTTTGAGCAAAATTTCATTTTTCCTGCTTACAAGTTAAGAACATTTACTTTAATCTACTTTAATTTTTTTATGCATCAAACTTCAAATATAGCCCAATTTTAAAAAAGGATTTAGTGACTTTTTAAAATATCATTATCACTTTTCAATAACTATCCTCCCC